AATGTTTGGACACTTTTATCAAGATTTGCGCCAAACGTGGCATCAATTATAATACCGGCAAAAGTGAGGGCGAGTTCTTAAGTATGTGTCAACTGCTGGAGGACTACGGCTTCATTGAAATCAAACGTGTCAACCAAACCGTCCGAAACGCGAAGATCTCGCTGAAAGTGGATGACTCGGAGATCAGACACTCGTTAAGTGACACACAATTTCTGAACCAAATTCTCCTGCAATCCAGTGCTTATGTCGTGTAATCGTAGTCAACCATAACTGTCACCCAATTTCTTATATTTTCATTTACCGTGTATTCAAATCAGTCTCTTATTTATATTGATAATGTAATTCACTTTTTAATATGAGATGTAATTTTTAAATTATACATTTATTTATAAGACTTTTAATAAACTTTTAATGAATTGAATGGATGTGTTTCTTTGGATAGTGATGAATGCCATTAGAAGACAATGAATGAGACATTCAAAGCATATATTATATTATAAGTGTTTTATTGTTTAATTACAAGTATTAACTGTGAAATAATTGATAATTAATAAATCTATAGATTAAAATAACTAAATAATTAATGCAAAGAATATTCTTGTTGACAATTTTCGCATAACTTTATGATGACTGTCGGCAAACATGTAAGAATAAGGACAATGAAACTCTTAGTAAATGTAATTATTATCTAACTAATGAATAATTAGATTTATTATAGCATGTCATATAACACTAAATATAGTATTAATATGATTAGTGTATAAAAAATACAAAACACAATACAATGCAACATTTTTGTGCTTGTCTTATAACTTAAATAGTCACTTATTTTCCGCTCTATTCTCAGAGCTTCTCAACAACTTTTTGTCCAAAAGCACTTAATTATGGTTATTTATCCGCAAAATAACTCGCGAACCGCTTCAATGGTTTGCCAAAACACTGATACATCACATCAACCCATGTCTACACACTCTACACATCATTTGATTTGTTATTATTTTCTATTCATTTAAATAAATTGCTGTTAAAATATATTTTAAATAAACTGAATTAAAAATATTGTCTACAAATTGTTGTGAATTCATATGTTTAAGAGTGTTATTGAAAACATACACTCATTTGGTGCATGAAATCTGTTTGAATGGTAAGGAATTTTTGGCTTCATTTCAATATTACTTAAAATATTTATTTAATTAAATGGTTAATAAGTTTTTATGGCAATAATTATGAATAATAAGTGATTTGATAAGAAATATTCAAATAGTTTAGTGTCTATTAGTGAGTATCGCTATGAATATTGATGTGAATTGATGTCAATATACGTGAAGTGTTATGACATTTAGGTAGGCATTGAATTGGGGGTCAATTTACTGGCGATAAGATTGCATTGCATTGAAACCGATCAACACTTTTGCAGTGATTGTTATAATTGTTATACAAATTGATTGTCGGATTCACCGTAAAAAAGTCGTCAATTCTTGGCATATCTTTCGTATCAAATGTTTTGTTTTGATTGCCATTCATATCAACACTCAATACAAAGTTATTCTGTATATAATGTCGTAAACAAATTGATTTGTTTTTCCGATAAAATCTCATTTTCAAGGAATTGTGTATTTGAGTCAAACAAAGTGATTGCAAATTTAGGTTATTTAATGGTTTTGACTGTTTTTTGTTTGTGGTTTGACTGCAATTAATATTCATTAGACAGTCCTGTCTAAAAGATGGGCTTAAAATAAAGTTGCATTCAGTTTGGGTCTAAGGGTTGCCACAAACCTTGTTTTTGAAATGCCTTTTCATTGCCTTTTCCAACATGTTTGCCGAGAATTGGGGACAGAATCTCAATAATTGTTGTAATATTTCATGTATTTTCTTCACTTTAGGACTCAATTTGTAATTAAAATATAAACTTTTATTTATTGCTAATAATTATCGATGAAATGACTGAAAACTTTTTGGGTTCTCATAGATTATACGAAATTCTTAATTATTTTTTGAAGGGATGATAATTTTGTTATATAATAAAATATTTGCTGACTATTAGTATGCGATTTGAAAATTTATACTATTATTATAAATTATATAACTAAATTGCATAACAGCTATTTATTGTTAAATGTTTTTTGTTTGTCATTAGGTTTATAATTTATAACAATTATAAGGGTTGTAATAATTTACTAAATTAGACCCAATTATATATCAAATTAAGAGTTAAAATATGAATTAAACAATAGACTATAAATAAAAGTATTGTCCTCCTTTTATAATATTTTATTATTAATTATTTAGTAGCTTTTAATCTTAATTTGGAGAATAATTTACAAAAGTATGTAAATTTTATAAAAATAATCTATTCAGAGGTTTAGATGAATAATTAAAATTAGAGATTTTATTATCCATTTTATATAAAAATGTTTTTTATTGACCAAAAGGAATTAATAATTAATACCTAAAGTATTGCAATAAAATATTTATAATTATACTGTAGTTGATGAACTACCGTACAGTATTTATCAATACAGTATATCAGTTTAAGTATGTTAAACTTTAACTGTATAAATAAAATTGTTTGTTTAAAAAAGTATGTGATATAATATCTCCACTTGTGATTCTAAACACCTAATTGTGTTTTCCTTAGTTTTAATTTTAATTCCAAAGTTTGTTTTTACACTTAATGTCATTTGTAATGATAATATTCTCGGCTTATTAGTGTCATCCTATTAATAGTAATCACACGAATTTTTCCCCTTTTCATAGCGAACATCCAGAATATCTTTATTAACTCATAATTGATATTCTTAAGTCTATTGTATTACTGAATTGCTACTATAATATAACTAAGTTACTGTATATTATACAGTATGTAGTCCACTTAATATACTGTATACAGTAATTACAGTATGCTACACTGTAGTAACTAACAGTAGATACTCATTTTGATTTCTGGTAGAAATTATTCCCAAATTAATCATTAGTTTGATTGTGTGCTGTAATTGAATGTCTTTGCGATTATAGGACTTAACACATAACTGTCTGATAAGACACAATAAATTGCTTTTTTTTGCTCGAAGTGAGAGGAAAGTAATAATTTCATTATAACTATCTCTACAGTAATTGACAATAATTTGGTTTCTATTTTGAATAAACAGAATATTTTTAGGAATTGTATAAATAGTTGTAAACAAAATAATCCGTTATTTCACTACATATTACAGTAATTGATTGCATAAATTATTGTGTGCGATAAAGTTATTGTATAATTTCTTATTTTATTGTGAATATTCTTTAATTGTGATATATATACCTGTATTAATATATAAAATCTGAACAGTGAACTTCACACTCATTTTAATTGATTGCATGTGTTTTATATAAACTACATTTTTAGATCATTAATTGGTGTCTATAATAATAATATTGGTTATGGAATAAAAACACGTCTTTCCCCTACGAAAACAAATTATCGCAATATTTTTGCCATTACTCGCAGTATTATTGACGTACAGAATATCTCACATAAACAATGGACCGGCAACTCATAAATGTAGTATTACTTGGATTAGCTTTTATGCTAATATTCACGGCTTTCCAAACCGGTGGTATGATTCAAGTGAGTACCTGCCACTTAACACAATCGGCATATTTGTACTCAAATATCTAATTTTCAATTAATAGCAAACAATAGTAGACAGCATTCATACCGATGATACGTCCTATACAGCCGATGGATACACGAGTTTATGTATTATATACGCGGTGTTGGCGATCGCCAATTGGTTGGCGCCCTCCGTGATCGTCATAACCGGCCCCCGACTGGCCATGTTTGTCGGTGCTATCACTTACTGGTAATGTATTTCTATATGATTTTTATTGAATAAAACAGTAATTATTTAATTTCCATTTTATAGCCTATTTATAGCAAACTTTTTATTCCCGAAAGTATGGGTTCTTTACTTTTTGTCATTCGTCATAGGCTTGGGAGCCGCGAGTGAGTCATACCTTTTCAATTGATTCATAAATTGTTTGCTAATTAAATGCATTTGAATGGACAGTTATATGGACGGGTCAAGGGAACTATCTGACCATCAACTCCAATGATGAGACAATGTCTCGGAATAGCGGTATCTTTTGGGCTCTATTGCAATGCAGTCTTCTTTGGGGAAATCTTTTCGTATTCTTTGTGTTCACTGAAGACCACATCAAGAAGGAGACCCGACAGCTCACGTATGGCGTACTCACTGGTGTGGGAATCGCCGGAACTGTTCTCCTATTCTTCCTGAGAGGTGGCAACAGAACCTCCACTGAAAGCCTTACTCTTCGCGATAGTTTCAGCGAATGTGTCGACGCTTTAGGTATTAATGAAATTGAATAAAACGACAAATTCTTGAACTAATCGTTAAATCGTGTCCAACAGTCGGCGCGTTTCGTCTTCTGCTGACCAAAAAGATGTGTCTCTTAATGATCACAGCCTTCTATACCGGTATACCATTCATACATTTCATTGAGTTTGACATTTATCTCATAAATCGTTTCAATTCATAGGATTGGAGTTGTGTTTCTTCAGCGGTGTCTACGGGACAGCCATCGGAAACACCAATAGTTTGGATTCAAACGGAAACGCCAAACGATTTATCGGTATCTCCGGTCTGTTGATCGGTGTCGGAGAGATCATCGGCGGCGCCACCTTTGGTCTCCTGGGCTCCAAGACTAACCGTTACGGTCGCGACCCGATTGTCATATTGGGGTACGTCCTCCATATGGTGGCCTTCTTTCTCGTATTCATCAACATTCCCGCCATCGCATCGCTCGAGAAGACTAACGACCCGTCCTATATAGACAGCAGGTGTGTGTCTGTCCGACCATTAGGCCATACGCGAGACCTAATGAAGTGATTTTGATGTCTGAAAAGCTAATTACCATTTGTCTGATAGCCTGAGCATCGCGTTATTCTGCAGCTTTCTGTTGGGTTTGGGCGACGCCTGCTATAACACCCAACTCTACTCCATCTTCGGAGTGGTCTATCGGGACAACTCTGTGCCGGCATTCGCTCTCTTCAAGTTTGTCCAGTCCCTGGCCGGCGCCATCGCCTTCTTCTACTCGTCGTACACCGACTGTCACATCCAAGTCCTCATATTAGCCATATTCGCCTCATTGGGAACCATATCATTCTCGACAGTCGAGTGGTCCGCTCGAAAGGACAGGGATGCCGTCGGCGACACCACTCACGGAGACTGACGGCCGCCTCGTTGTTAACTAATTTAAATGCATGTCTATAATAATTATTATAATAATCTATTTTGTTGTTGGATTTCTACAATTTTCGACTTATATTCAGAAAATATTTTTATATGTATTTTATTAAACATTAAGAAATCTGTTAATAAATCTCTTGAAAAGAGGACTTTGTGTGCGATTGTGACTAATTAATGGACAATCGCTGCTACCCATCACATCTACGTGTATTAAACTGTATTAGCGGTCATATTATCAATAAGTTTCAAAGTACTGCCAATTCTTTATAGGCATATAGTGTCCAGGTATCTGTATATTGTCAGTTGCCACTCATTTATCGGTTGTATATCATGTTTATCAAGTGGTATGAAAGGTTGAGGTGGTGTTTGGGTACAGGAAAGGCCTATTTGTGGTGCACAAAGTGGTCTAATTAGTGAATGATAGCAATGATAGCAATGAACGGATACAACAGTTCAGAGAGAGAAGTGATGGCAAAGTCATAGCGAGTGATGTGTCCTATAGTTTGTGCGTTCAATGTATGAGTAGTTTTGGCGCTGCTTTCAGTCAAAGCGTGCATTGAATGCAACACTCACTCCACTATTGACTCAATGTTTGCATTCATTTATTNCTTTAACCAAAAGAGCTTTTTTAACATCAATTAATCGATGCGTTTCTGATTAGAATAACATTAAAAGTAAGTCTTATTCCCATTAATAATATTATTGACGAACAGAATAATAAAATAACACAAAAACTATAATTAAAGACATGCGAAATGTCATAAAAATTAATTTTTCATAAAATCCAGATAAATATTATTATCGAGAATTCACATTAAATTACACTCATTAGAGAGATGGATAGAGAGAGAGAGAGAGAGAGAGAGTGAGAGAGAGAGAGAGAGAGAGCCGGGAGTTTGTGTTGTGAGGCATCTTATTCTGTATGTAATACTACTTATAAGAGGCGAACAAACCCTAAGAACAAACGGATAGTAAGACCAAAAATAGTGAGTGTTTACACAAATATTGGATGACTAGCATAGCATTGCTAATGAAAGACACCATTGCCTCCAATTAATCCTATGCTCACAAACACATCATTGCTTTCATTGTAACTCTTCTTTTTAAAACACAATTTGTTTTAATATTTATAACAAACGGAAAGTAAAATAACAGTTATTTTTAAGTATGTTTCATATTTTGTGGCTTACAGTATGTTTACAATAGTTGCTAACATAAACTGTAAGGTACTTAGCTTGTTTATCAGTGATAAATCTCTTGCCTCCCCTCCCTCTACCAGAAATTAAGGCTTACTTTTGAGGTGAATTGCGGAATGAGTACTCATTTAATGCATTTTTATAAGTGAATTGCTTTATTCCCGTCTCATTTTGAATAACTAAACGACTATATGTGTTATTACACCTCCATTACGATTACGGGAGCATCATATGAGTGGCAATCATATCTCCCACTATCCATACGATCTGTATATCAAGCGTTGGTTTGACTCCTTTTAGCCATTTATTATATCTTAATATCTCATGTATTTCGGTGTTTATGCTATGATTTGTCCGCATTTCGTATGCATTTATGTGTTATGTTTGTCAGTCCAGTGCTCCACTCACTCCAGACTAACGGTGCGAAGTTTGTGATGGAGAGGGGAAAGGCATCCACACGACTAGTGAACCACTTTATCCAATTCACTCGACACTAAATCTTAATTAATTTATATGGAAATAATCAGTTGTGTTGGCCTTTCAGTGCAATTTGGGTGCAATTGCTTCTTATGATTATTATTTTCATTACATTTACTTCAATAATAAAGACGAAAGCATTTTATTTTTGTTTATCACATGAATTATATTTATATATATATACGGTTATTATTGTTTGATATTTTATTTTTCCAATTTTGCTCACCATATAATGGTGGCTATAATTTTTAATTTAATAAACATTTATGTAATACTAATGTACTTATAAATAAATTGTTATAATAGTTATTAGGTTTTCCTATTTTTGCTCACTTTCTCTCTCTCTCTCTCTCTCTCTCTCTCTCTCTCCCTATCCATCTCTCTAATGAGTGTAATTTAATGTGAATTCTCGATAATAATATTTATCTGGATTTTATGAAAAATTAATTTTTATGACATTTCGCATGTCTTTAATTATAGTTTTTGTGTTATTTTATTATTCTGTTCGTCAATAATATTATTAATGGGAATAAGACTTACTTTTAATGTTATTCTAATCAGAAACGCATCGATTAATTGATGTTAAAAAAGCTCTTTTGGTTAAAGCAGTTAAAGCAGTGCCAGGAATATAATGATATGTTTTTGATGCAAAAATTGCAATAATTAGGGATATGTTTCCATTAATTTTGCTGAAATGAGTTGTTTTGAGTGAATATTAAACACTACGACACAGAGTAAAGACTATTAATTTTTCTCCTTTGCATCCCATTCTCTCTCTCTCTCTCCCTCTCTCTCTCTCTTCCTCTCTCTCTCTCTCTCTCTCTCTCTCTCGTATAGAACTAAAAAAGTAAGAAAATTTTTATTTAACTATAATATCTGTAATGTTTGCTCTTTTTAAAGGGAAGGGACTCCTATAGTATATAAATATATCGCTTATGTATTCCTATAAAAATTGATTAATGATTTTCTTAGGCGTTAAATATTTATTCACAATTTGAACGCTTCAGAAATGTATTACTTTTTTAGACTCAAAAATAGATGAGAGAAGAATACGTATACACAAGAAGTATACGATATATCGCTTATATTGAGAGCCCGTTTGCCATTAAATGAGTGTTTTTGCATCACTTTTCTCTCTCTCTCTCTCTCTCTCTCTCTCTCAACACCAATACACATAAAATAAGACCATTTTTTGCATTAGTTTGGCGAAAGAGCAGCCAATCCTTTGATTACATCCATAGTATTGACGCAAACAGAGAGAAAGCAAAGCATATAATCGGATGACGAGAATGTATTTGTAAGTTAAGAAATACTCTGTTTATATGCCGTGTAATGCGTTCACATGTTTGAGGCCATCAAAGTCTACATTTAATATTAACGTCTTATATAACGGTTAAAAGTATTGGAAAGCGAGAGTCTGTCGGAGTTCCCACTGTTTAAGTAGGAGTTTTCGGTGAGACATCGCTAGGAAAGAGGAAAATCGCAATAAAAAGGCAAACAATTGGACGCTAAAAGAGCAGACAATGTATGGATATGTTTGGCGTTCAAATGTATGGTCACATGCATTGGTGGCAATGGTGTGAGAGTTTGCCAATAATGGTGTGAAAGTGTGAAATGCCTGCGGACTCCAATCGATAATATGAAAGCACTGGCAATTGGCCTAAACTTAATAAAAGCAACGACACATACCATGGCCTGGCTATACTGGCCACTACTACCAGCACTATGTACTGGAGGGCCAACACACACAACACCATATTATACAAACACTTCAATTATATTATTGAGATTTGGCCTCACAATTGCACGGTATATAGAGTATACCCGTATATATAATGTGTGTATAGATATTATTATAAGCAATACGTTTGTGTTAATATTGTTTCGCCGATTTCTACTCTCCATTTAATCCGTTGGGATTGCAATCGATGGCAATAACGAGTTTTCATCAAACGATTGCCACTCACTTCGCTGTACAACAACTTCCACACCGTATCTCTCATCTCAACATCTCATAAGTCCATTAAATCTAAGATATCTCTTATATAAATATTGCACAGTTTGGGCATAAAAATCATAATTGTTGCCAAAATGCCATAACAATACACTCCATGTCTCTCTCCCTCCCCATCTACCCATTGAATGCCTGTGTGCTCGTAGAGCTAAACACCCTTTTGTAGGGTTTCTTATATGCAATAAATCCAATGGAAAACAATCGACAATTTTTAGGCAATCATTTGCCGTTCACTTTATGCGCTCACAATATTGTCTCTCATACGATATCATATATCAAACGCTTAATAATCATTAGATAAAAATTTCTGGACATATAATCTCCGAAAATGAGATTCTTTTCGGCAATCGATTCTCGACTCCAAACATCTTTCCAGAGGAGAGAGAGACAGTCATCGACGCCAATGACCAGCGCTTACAGTGCGGCACAAGTATTCAATTTATGGGTCGAGCCATGAATATATGAATAGTTTTACATAAATTGATATCCATTTCTAAAACAAATATATTTGTAATAGAGAGCCAAATGACGGTCATATAAAACGATAGGACAACACATATTGGGAGAGAGAGAGAGAGAGAGAGAGAGAGAAAAGTGATGAAACATATTGTGGTATCAGAGGCTGAGGCCTATTTCCATGTCATTTCCTATTGGATGGTCTCTGGAAGCGGATGTTAGTTATGCATGCAATTCATGGCAGCAATAAAAATAAGATATAATAAAAGTGATCGACAAATGACAGCATCCGAAAGGTTTTGTTAACTCATCTCATATTTTGCTCTTCAATACAACATAAGAATACATAAGAATAACAACAAAAATAACAACAATAACGACGAGAAGAATATAATATGATATATAAATGTGAGCCAACAGTGAAAGGGAGCAGAGATATAATCAGATGAATACAAAAAATTGAGGCAAAGGAGTGCATACGAGAGAGAGAGAGAGAGAGAGAGAGAGAGAGGAGAGAGAGAGAGACTGAGATGTGAAGTCGTTTGGGAATCCATACAAAACAAGGACTACAGACACGAAGAATAAGAAGTCTTTGGCAGTACTGGCAGTAGAGTTGGCACCGATAACCAGGAAAATGTTGAAAATGTTTTCAAATGGGAATACAGATCAAGGACCTGGTGCTCATGCCATACCAGTGCGTGTGCATGAGAGCACCGGCTGACTGACATACACTACATGATGGGTGCGAATAGAGTTGCGAGACATAGACGGAGACATCGAAAGAGCGAAAAAAATTTCGGCACATTTCGGATGTATTATCAAAAGTGACAGCACAGACACAAACACATGTTATTATGGATTTTGCCACCACTCC